AAAGAGACATCTTTTAAACTCACTGCCTGTTGGGTTTGGACTGGTGCAATTCATGACCTGTGCTTGGAAATCTCCTATGGGAAGAACAGCACTTTCCTGTAGGATAACCCTCAAATGCTCCACGTTCCAGCCAGCCTGGCCCTGTGGCTCTCAGCTGCTGCAGAGCCTCACTGATAACCAATCTCGGTATGATTTGTGCTGCTGAGGGACCCCCTTCCCCCAGGATTATTGTTTGGATGCTGTGCCTGCACATTCCTTGGATCTCCTGCAGTCGCCTGCCGTGACCTCTGTGGCTCACGAATTAGGGCCTTGTCAAGGGGCACTAATCCCAGCTGGCTACTGATCCTGCTGATTCCTAATGGGATTTTCCCATCTTTAGCATTGAGACAGCTTAATTCCCCCAGCCACCAGGAGGAGGGCTATAAAAAGCCACATGGAGRCTTCCAGAGCTGAAGAACCTGACAATATGAACCAATATCCAGACATTTTTTAGGGAAARGGAAGAGCTGAACTCTGAAGCTCCACTGATCGTAGATGAGACCTGAAGCTCTTTCTCACTGTTGTTAAGAGCTCCATTACAGATCCTGAGGGATCTATTTGGGATAGGGGAACTCAGTTTTAGTTTCCTTTTCTGACTCATTTGGGGSAGATTGAACCTGGCTCTCATCCTACACCGAGTACAAACAAAGCTCTTAATCCTTGGGTTCTTAGAGTYGGGTTGTAGCTGAATATTCCAACTTCAGGAGATACCCTGAAGTACCTAAGAATAAAATAAATTGATTTTATGCACCCAGATCTACTGTGAGACCCCTCCCACAACTGCTGAGACCACAGCAGCGCGGGAGCTGATTCCAGCTCATGGTATTTATTTAATTAACAAATGTAATTAAGGTTCCTGCTTTTGGCTCTGAAGGTCCTGAGCTCGGTCTCTGCCACAGACTCAGACTGGGAGAGATGGTGCTGGAGTAACTCTGGGAAAAAGGGGGAATATTGAGTGGGAGAGGGGCTGCACATGTGATTAAATGATGGATTTTCTCCTCTTTCATCTCCCCAGGGCTCCCTGCTTTGGTCGTTGCCATTTCTGTGGGATTTACTAAAGCCAAGGGATACGGCACCGTGAACTAGTGAGTAAAGGATTCCTTATTTTCCCCTCTGTTTTATTCTCCATCCTTTTTTGTCAAAACCCAGTCATTGACCTGCAGAAGGCAGGCTGGGAGCTCAATTCCCATGTGGTGTCCATGGCAGAGGGGACCAGGGATGAGGAAGGATCATTCCTGCATCCCTACCTCTTCAATCATCCTCTGGCCAAGCTGGATCATTTATTCCTCTAAAAACAAATTCACAAGGACTACTTGGGTCTAATMATTGTATTTGTGACATGACTTTGATCTAAATACCTTTTACTTAAAGCTTTTTGATGTATTTTTTAAGGAAAAAAATGGAATATTTTAAGTTTAAGATGTTTAAAAATTTAAAAACAGCTTTTTATTTAATCTGTTTTTATGCTTGATTGACTTCCACATTTTCAAAATAGCTCAGCTCAGTTTTAGGCAKCAGAATGAGCCTGACTTTTTCAAACCAAGGTTTTGACAGCAGCYTTTGTTTGCCTGTTTTCCAAATTCCACAGGTTTTGTCTTTAGGAAACTTTTATGTGTTTGTAATGGAAGGAGAACCGAGAAATAATAGAGGAGGTTAAAAATGCATTAAGGCAAGGCTGGACTCACTCAGAGCTAAGCATTGGTATGGTTTTAAATGAAAAAGAAAAAAAAGAGAAAGTGTTGTATTTTCACTCTGTTGTGAAAAACCTTAGAAATTTTGTGCTCAACCACAGTTAAAGGATAATAATTTCTGTAGCAATAAGTCAGGCTCTTCCCTGCTGCATCCCATAGTTTTCCAGAGCCTTCCTGGGCAGGGATTTGCATCCCACACGGGCAACGTTTGAGGCTGGAGCTTCGATCGTCCCACTGAGGAGGTGTCACATGGAACCTCCTGCTCTCTCTCCCAATCTCCACCACATCCTGCACACCCACGGCCAAATGGTCCAGGGTTTGCATTTTAATTGCAGAGGAGAGTTAAAGCAGCATTTTCTGTTTGCTCTGCAGCCTCAATTCCTAAATTCCTACAYGACACAAAGGGCTCAGGATTGTGGATTTCTCGAGACAGAATTCCTCAAGTCTGTGCTGGCATCAGGATGCACTGGGTGCACCTGCTGTGCCTTCAGTGTGTCCTGGTGGAGGGGAACTTGTGTGACTCAGGAGAGGACAAAACCCAGCCTGGATTTTGGAAGCATCACCAGGATCCCAAATTAATTCCCTTCGGCTTTTCCGTGGGTCAGCTGCTTCTGGCACTTTGCTCCAGGCACATCCACGTGAACAATTCACAAATAAGCAAGCCTCAGGGGGATTGGAGGGAGCTCCTGAATATTTCTGCTTTTTTTTTTTTTTTTTTTTTTTTTTATTATTGTACAAACTAGAATGCAGTCCAGAATGGTGCTGTGCTTGTAACCAGAACATATTTCCATCTGCAGTCAGTCATTGACTTTGTTGATGGACTGGTGGGAATTGGTGCAAAAAGCTTTGTGGCTGATGTTTAAGAGTTTTATGTTCAACATCAGCCACACAAAAGTGCCTGGGTGGGTAAGGGAGGAACGTGCAAGTCCAGTTTGATGAGTTGGGCTTGGAGGATCCTTGTGGGTCCTTTTCCAGGATATTCCATGGTTCTGTTGTCCTCCTCTTGTCTCCTTTCCACGTATCCCAGTGTGTGGTGAAGCTGGTGGGTCCCACCAAAGTCATGAGGAGAGCATCAGTTCCTCTCAAGCACAAAGATCCCATCGGATGTTCCCAATGCTGCCATCTTATTGTCATTCCACACTTTGGAACCTTGTAAAAAACCTGCAAGAAGGCCGGAGAGGGACTTTTTCTGAGAGCATGGAAAAAATCTATACCACATTGAGTTGATGTGGTATAGATTTAGATTGGATATTGGGAAAGAATTCTTCCCTTTGAGGGTGGTGGGGCCCTGGCACAGGTTTTCCAGAGAAGCTGTGGCTTTCCTGGAAGTGTCCAAGGCCAGGTTRGACAGGGCTTGGAGCAACCTGGGACAGTGGAAGGTGTCCCTGCCCATGGCAGGGTTTGGAATGAGATGATCTTTCAGGTCTTTTCAGCCCAGTTTAGTTTTGTCTCCAGTTTGTGATGGGCACTCACAGGGCACTGCAGACTTTTCAAGTCCCAATATTTCCAGCTTGCAGAAGGAAGGAAAAGCCTTAATCACAGCACATCCCTCCCTTCCTGGGAAGGAGAGGACAAGAGGGGACAAGATAAACCACAAAGGACTGCACAGAGTMTTTTAAATCATCTTCCAACCCTGCAGTTTCTGGGTCCTAAGGGCAGTCCGTGAGCTCCCATGGTGGAGGTGGACATTAAGTCAAAGCAGGGTTCTGATGTTTTAGGTGAGCGCAGAATTTACCACTCAACAGCATTTTTTTTTTTCTCATCCCACTCACAGTGGTGAAAGACACCCTGACATCCATCTATGGGACGTGGTCACGAGGGCATTTTGGGGACAGCTGCAGATGTTGAAGGCACTGCAGGACCGATTTTGGTGTTAAAGACTCTCAGGGCAAAGCTGGTGGAAAARGCAGGGTGTTCCAGTCTTGAGSCTGGAACTGTCAWTCCAGCTGCATCTTCAGGATGTGCCAAGGATGGCCCAACCCACCTGAGCAGTTTCCTTCAGGATTTTCAACCTGGGACCAAAGGTTTCACCCAGTTTGGTCCTGGGTGAAGTTTTTCTCTAAAAATAAAAACACAGATGAACAGCAGGATGGGGTCTGTCCCATCAAAGTGTCCCATCAAAGGCTTGGCCATGTCCCCAGCTGTAATGCAGAGAGATCAGAGCCAGTTCTGAATTCAGGGAGGTTGGGATAATATTTAATATTTACCATTTAACTGGCCAGACAGGTCCACTGAGTCACAAGTTGAGGAGGGAGACAGAGATTGAAATTAAAAACTGAATATTTGCCGCAGGATTTGAAGTGTTTCTGTTCTGTGAGTGGTGGTTTGATTCTTAGCAGCCTTTCACTCAACCTTTATCACTCACGACACTCCAACTCTCTGGCACTGATGAGACTGGGAGGGCATGAGGGGATTTTTCCCTTTTTTTTGTCTGAACTACCTTTGAAAAAGGACATTTTGCAATTGTTTGGAGCGTGCTGGGGCAGCGTAGAAGCTTCACTTCCACTCTCAAAAAAGTCTGAGAGGTGCCAGAGGCCTAAAGGACCTGCCACTGATCACCTCCTTGGATCAGGCTGAGTGCCTGAATAATAACCCTCCTTTTAGCTGCTGCTCCAGGGACTGCCTCTGGACCTCTAAAGCTTCCCAAACAACCTTCTAAAGCTCGAAGTGAATAATTGAGGTTGTGCCACTGGCACTGGGAACTCTCATCCTTCCCCACGAGAGAGCCCATCAGAAGTTTTCTGAGAGCAGAGCCCGCACACAGCAAATTTCTYGGGATCCTGGAGTGTCATTGCATCAGGGCTTTTTGATCCACAGGTATCCCTGCAGCTTTGGGGTTGATTTCTGAATTCCCAGCTGTAATCTCAGTTATCCAAAATGTTGTGTTGACTGATTTTGCAGAGCATTGAGGTGCTGAGAGCTGCTGGGCAGTGAAAATGGGCTCAGTGGAAGCCAACCCTTCCCAGAACTGGGGCAAAAGCCACCACCTCCCATCTGGGCTGGGGAGAATCACAAAAGGATCAGATGTTTTGCAAAGAGGGTTTTTTTTTTTGTGCTCAACACCAGAGGAAACACTGTCAGGAATTTGTGCTGTGTTGTGCTGTCAGTTGAGGAAACACTGCTTAGAACTTGTTAAACCATTCACTTTTTTTTTCCTTCCTTCCAGTGATGATTTTATTTAAAAAAAAAAAAAAAAAAATCAGTGAAGAGAACCCTTGGAAAGTACAAGGGAACTTCTTAGCCAAATACACATATTCCCGTGCCTCATAGGTGCAAGGCTAAAAGCATCTCCACCAGAGTGGGGTTTCCTGTCACTTCTGTTTTTTGGATATTCCTTTACCCTTTCCCTCACTGGCAGCCAACACCTCTGACAACCTTGGAATTCTTTGCAGAAGTGCTGTGGCAGGGAGGTGAGGCCRTCAGAAGGGATCAGGGTGGGTTCTTGGTGATGTGTGATCTCCCCTTCCCAATTCCCCCMAGGAATGAGGACCCTGCTTGCACCTCATCTCTAATTGCAGTGCAGGACTCTCAGATTTCTTCATCTGAGCCACCAGGTGGAAGAGACACTGAGAAAAAGCATCTCAGAGTTAGGATTGAGCATTGGATAAAAAGGTTTGGAAGAGGATTGGGATTTTGGAGCCCTCCTCTTGCATTTTGGGAGACCTCCAATTATTAGACCTCCAAATCTTCATTTTTATCCCCTCCCTCCTCAGCTGATTATTCATCTTATTATTACAACTGCTCAGACAGAGCAGTTTGCTACCAGGAAGAAATCAGAATTGTTTCAATTATCACTTTACAGGTTTAATTTAGACATAAATTAGATTCAGACTTCGGAGRAAACCAGAATATCCTAATCCTGAATTTGAAATACTTCCTTTTTTAGGATGCCTTTTTAGAGATGTTCCTTGTTTTGGGGTGAAAAAAGCAACATATTTTACAACTGAGAATTAATAAAAAAAAAACATGAGGCTGATCAACAAAACTGAAATGTTTCCAGGAAGGCTTTTTATTTTTTTTTTCTTTTCCTGGGAGCATCAGTTTGCTCCTGATGCAGAATGAAAGCATCTTGCTGAGGGCAGGGGCACGCAGGTGAATTACTGCAGGCTGAGCTGAGTTCAGAGCTGGGAGAAATTCCCCTCTCCATTGTGGATTCCTGCTCTCCTCCTGTGCTGAGTGCACGGTCGTTTCCTGCTCAAACAGGATTACTCCATCCCACATTTTCTCCGGGGTTCTGCCCTGTCAAAGCGTGCAAACTTTCCGAGGGGCTGCTGACACGGTGTAAATTCCCATCCTCTCCTGCCCTGGAGCTCCTGATTTGTGTGTTCATGCCCTGAATTGATGGATTCCTCACAAAAAAAAAAAAAAGGAATTTCAGCTCCGGTGTTGCTGTAGCTGTTCATGGCTGTCACGGAGCCACCTGCTCAGGCAGGGTCACCTGCAGGTGGCTGCCCAGGGCTGTTCCCAGATGGATTTTGGATGTCTCCAAGGATGGAGATTTCCCAGCTCATCCCTTGGCATTGCTCAGATGCTCTCAGAGGCAGAAAAGTGCTTCTTTCATGGAAAACAAAYAGAAAATGGTTTGGGTTGGATGAGACCTTCGAGGTCATCAAGTTCCAACCCCTGCCCTGGGCAGGGACAYCTCCCACCATCCCAGGCTGCTCCAAGCCCCGTCCAGCCTGGCCTTGGACACTCCCAGGGATGGGGCAGCCACAACTTCTCTGGGCAGCCTGTGCCAGGGTCTCAACCAAGAGCTCATTCAGTTTGAGAGGGCTCCAGGCAATTCAGAAGCCCAAATTCCACACCTGGTCAATGGAGAAGGGAGATGTCCTTCTCAGCTTACACAGTGTGAGGCAGAAGGAACAAGCTGATTTCCAAAAGGGACACCACACACCTCACACTCAGCTCATTTTTTGAGGAATTCCACTCAGGGAGTGCTGTGGGTTCCCACCTCACTGCTGTGGTATTAAATTTCCCCGTGGAGGCAATTTCATAGAGAGGGAGGAAATGTCCTGCACCCCTGGACCTGGGTCCCTGGCAAGCACAGGGGTCAGCAAATGAGCAAGGGACAATTTCCACCCTTCCTGCTCTTTTGCCTGAGTAAGTAGGACAAAAGCATCATCTCACCAGCAAAATGCTGCAGCTGCTTCCAGGACCTGGACTGAAACAGAGCACTCTCCTTAATTTTGCATGAATTCCCCTGTCAAATGTCATCCTGGGGGCAGGTCCCTAGGCAGAGGAGCCTTTGTGCAAGCTTGGGAGAAATGGGAAGCAAAACTTGCTTGATTTAAAGTCTGATTTTTCTTTTTTTTTTTTTTTTTTTTTTTTTTTTTTGCCATGGGGTGTCGTCTCCCAGGCTGAGCTCTGCAGGCGAAGGGAAGAAGTCAGCATGTCACTGTTGGGGACATTTGCCACTGGGTGATTTTCTCTTTTCTCTTCATTTTCCAGCTGCTGGCTGTCGTTGGAGGGAGGACTCCTCTATGCCTTCGTGGGACCGGCGGCTGCTGTCGTTTTGGTATTTAAGCTTGTCTGAAAGCTCTCTTTTTTTTTTAATCTTACGGCACTTTCCTTGTTCTTGCAACCCAAGAATGCCCCCCTTTATTTCCACTTGTACTTTGAAGAGAGTCCTTCAGGAATAATGAGCAAAGCCAGCAATTTGGGGTGGGGCTGATTCTGAAAKATAATGGATGTGCCTCAACTCTCAGACTTCCACCTCTGTCCTCACTGGAGGACTCCTAACGTCTGATTCATGCTTAACCTTGGTTTTGCTCTGTCTGGGTGGAAGTGCAGGATGATGGTGGAAAACTCTGACATTGACTCCTTCAGAAAATGCTGTTTTCAGCCCAGGCTGTGCCCTCACAGCCCGCTTTTATTCCTGATCCATTCCAGGCCAGTGCATGTGAGCAGCTTCCTTGTATGCAGGTGAAAAGGAAATCTTCAAATCAGTGCTGAGGGGATCCTTTCTGACCCTAAAAATGTCCTGTTTRCTTTGAGTTCAGAGAGATGGCTGGTTAAAGTGAGTGTTCCTAAAATCCAACCTCTGCATGGTGGGGCTCTGTTCTTCTGTCCCATCACCCCAGACTCCAACATAGCCCCAACACCGACCTTGGCCAGTCATTAAGGTGTCACTCAAGAGGTGACATTCCTTTCCTGAAGCTCCTGAAGCCTCAGAGCCATGAGAGTGGGTTGAAAGGATCTGAGAACTGTTGCTGCTCCAGGAAATGCTGCCTGCATCAATTCCTGATGGTTTAAAGCCAAGTTGGAGCCCCTAACACCTTCTCTCCAGCCCGGTTTTTTATCCAGTGGAGGAGCTTCGTGCCCTTGGAGAGTTCCCAAGGAATGAGGCTGTTGACACTCACAGTTCCTTTCTCAGCTCAGGCTTTTGTTCCGTGCAGCGCCCGGGGGATGAAATGCCCCGCAGCAGCAGGAGCTTGCGGGAGAACAACTCCACAAAAACAACTCCACAAAAGCTCGGGCTGCCTCTGTTGTCAGCGCTGTCACTGCACATCAAACCACCTCGGTGCCATCGTCTCATCGCGGCGACAGAGAGCAAAGGCAGCAGCGGCTCCTCCTCCGCCAGAAATCACAACTGGTGCGAGCTGAGCTCTTTGATGCGGAGCTCAGCGGTGATTCGGAGGGAGGGCGCTTTGGTGGCGCCCAGAGTCGCTCTGCTGCCTCCAGACACCTGGCTTTTGTTGTGCCAGCAGCAAGGGAAGCCATCCTGTGTTTTTTCCTTGGGCCTGTGAGCAAAACATGGGAGCCGTCTTCCGTTTGGCACCTCAGTTTTCCCTCATCATCGAGCTGGAAAGGAGATTGAAAAGGAGATGTCCTCACAGAGGGGTCAACTCACGCACATGGTGATTCTTGCAACTGAGATTTGGGAGGGGTGAATCATCTCTGGGGGTGTCTGGCCCTGATCAGTCCCAAGAGAGAGACCACGCACCTCATTTGCACTCCCTGACTCATTCCTGGCTGTCTCGGTTTGAGACAATGTTTTCAGAGAAAAAACTTTACAGAGTAAACATTTCCTCTGAAGTGAAAAATTTGATAATTTTTTCCCACCAATATGAAATAGATGTTTGGGCAAAAGTGAGGAGAAAAAAAAGTAGTTTATTAACAAAACACAGTGCCCACAGGWCACAGATAAAAAGTAACTGTTAGATATTTAAAAGTCCAGGAACGAACGCCACTCCCTCCCCCCACAGCCACTTGGCCATGTGGTTTGGAGAAAGATGGCAGCTCCTGTCCCTGGGAAAAAGAAACAAAAGGGGGAAAAAAAAAAGACAACCCACGTGGCCACTCAGGCAACAGTGGCAAAACCTGGAGGCAGTCCTATCCGCACGTGGATGAAACAGAAGGCTCGGTGTGCTTTCCCGTCGCTGCTTGGCTTTTTCCGGAGTCCGGGACAAGACGGAGCATTGCCACTTGTCCCCGCTGGCCGCTGAATTGCTCAAGAAGAAAAGTCACAGGAGCTGCAGATGGGGGTGGCAGTCCAGGGAAAACTGTTTGCCCAAGCTAACAAACCGGAGCTAGCTAAATGGCAACAACGTAATTCTGCTGCACACAGTGAGCAGAAACTCCTGCAGCACTGAGCCTTGTGCCAGCCCTGGTTTTTAAACTTCTTGCTCCGCCTTTGCCCCTTCTTCTGCATCAGATTTAAAGGCACAGACACTTTTTGGGCATACAAGCTGACAGATTATAGGAATACAGGATTGGCACAACATCAACCCAAGACACTGGCCAAGGTCATAAATGAATATTGCCCTGGTAGAGAAACCAAAGAACTTGGGGAAGTAGAAGAAGCGTTGAAAGCCTTTTTGTAAACGGGAGCCTACAGACAGACCAGCTCAAGAAGTTGGTAATGCCCAGAGACGGTTGGCCTGCAGCTCCAGCAATATTCAGAACTCTTCGTCAAGACACTGGCACTGAACAGCTGAGGGTTTGAAGACGAAAGATTGGACCTTTATTCTTAAAGATCCTGATCTACCTTAAATATGGAGCTGTTGGAAGCAGTTTGACCTACCCAGCTTGAGGATAGTCATGTGGAGGCTGAAGACARGGACAAGGCTCATGGAATGAGGTCAGGAAAGAGTCATCCGTGGTCAGGTAGTTGATATCTCCAAGAATCTCAGACTTGAGGCTTTGCTTCTGGGTCATATCTCAGAGATAAAGAAGTGAAGCTGCTTTTTGAGTTGTTAGAAGAATATCTATGTTGTATCCCTGAAGTGGAGCCAGGATCAGGGCAGGATGTTGATTGTGATGCTCAATATACTGGATTGATTAAYTGACTGATTAATTGATTAAAACCAGTGCAAAACTGCCCTTTGACATCTCCCCTGCTCCACAGGAATGRGGACACACACTTTGGCCAGCCCTAGGAGGGATCCAGCCCCACTTCMTCCCCATCTTTCCTCCTTCCTGGCTGCACCTTAAGGAAAAGTCTCTCTCGCACTCAGCAGCCTCCACCACAGGGAAGGATCAGGGATTTCAAAGTGCTTTCCAAGCTCATAGCCAGGCTCTGATTCCCTCCTGATCCTTGGCTGTGTTGTTGTGCCTCACTTTCCCAAGCTTTTCTCCAAATCAATACATGGTGAACCTTAGGAATGGACTTGCAGCTCGTCCACTGGCCCAGCAGCTGATGCACACAGAAAAAAACTGCAATTTCTGGGATTTTTCATGGATTTCCAGCCTTGGGCTCCACATCAGTGAGCTGGTGAAACCAGCAGCAAGACTGATCATCGTTCTGAGGAGGATTTAGGCAGTTAGGGAGGGGCATGGTCCTCTCAGGGGTCTCTTAAACTCACAAACACGTAAAGCCACRTGAATTTATCTCTGAATTTGGCCTTAAAACATCTCCCTGCAAGCCCCACATGCAAAACAGCATTGGCCACAGGGTTCTGCCATYACCAGCTGTTCCACTGGCAGCAAAACCAGGAGAATGTCACTTTTTTCCACCATCAGTGCCATGCCTCCACACAGGGGTGGTGCTCACGTGTCACTCACGTGTTGCTGAGGTTTGGATGAGGTTTGTAAAGCAGATGCAGCTGGCAGCAGTGGAGGCAGCTGGGAGGACACAGAGAGGAGTTTGGGGTCACTCTGCAGGTTCTCAGCTCTGTGTTTCACTGTGGGTTTTATACCTGATTGACACAGACATCCCTGTTCACACCCTGAGGAGAACAGACTGCATGGAATTGTCTTGCCCACTGATTTTTTKGGGGAAATCCTCTGCTGGGCCATCTGCAGCATCTCCCAAGGCATTCCAGCAGAGCAGCTGATATTTCTGCTTGCTCCACCTCTTATTTTGAGAGCAGCAGTGCTGGTTCACCAGGAATGAGCTGTGACACGTTTCTGCATTCTCTTAATGCTGCTGCTGTGGCAGCAGGAGGTCCAGAGGGTGCTTTGGGAAGCAGTGTCAACCTATTGCTCTCCTCTGTACTGACCACTTTTCTGCTTGGATTAGCCCAAAAAATTGTTGTGCCTGRAGTTTGCCTTGCTGAACCTCAAGCAGCGTTTAGCTTCGAGCAGCCCTGCAGCAATCTGAGAAATTGATTCTATCCTGGCTTGTGGAGAGCTGGTGAAAGGTTGCATTTGATGATCTTGGAGGTCTTTTCCAACCTTATGACTCTCCCAGCTCTTGGATCTGCTTCCAGCTGCATTCTGCTGTCCTGAACTCACTGATGCACGGCCAGGGGGGGTGGGACAGTGGGGACAGGGGACACAGGGGGTGGTGGCCTGCAGAAGCATGACCTGGCTTTGGGAGAAACCCTTCTGTGTTGCCGAGTTTGACCTGACCCACTTGAGAACAAAACTGTGTGTTGTTTCTCTTTTGACAGGTGAACATGGTTATTGGCATTCTGGTTTTTAACAAACTTGTATCCAAAGATGGAATAACAGATAAGAAACTGAAGGAACGGGCAGGGTATGCCTTATCAATACATCTAAGTAAAGAGTGAAAATAAAAAAAAAAAAACAAAAATACCCAAGGTTGTGATCAATAACCAGGCAAGGGGTGCAAAAAGAGATTGGGGATGCAAACAAAAAGAAAGCGAAAACAGATTTAAACAAAATTAAAGAAAAAAACCACACTTGATTTGTTCTATTTGTCTTGTCATTCAGTACAGCAAGGACACAAAAATCCAAGAAGCAGCCCTGTGTCGCTGTGGAGGAAGSATAAAAGTTCATCTCTTTGTTAAAGTGGCTTCACCCCAGACTGATGCATCCTTCCAAAAATGAGGGAGAGCAAAGTGACTCCTCTCAGTCAGCAGAGACAGSACGTGGCAGGAGCTGGGTGACAGAGAGGTCATGTCTGAAGGCTGGCAGGTGTCTGGGGGACAGCAGAGGTGTGGGATGGAAMGGAAAGGGTTTGAGAGGTCCAGCAAAGAGCAGAGCAGCAGATGGATGCAGTAGGAGAGAGGAGTTAAGAACCTCTGCTGCAAGAAAAAATTCTGCTGCCACCCGAGGTTCTTTATCTCCTCCACAGCCTCCATTCCCAAATCCTGAGGCTCTGTGCTGCCTAGTTTCCTCTGGAGTATAAATTAAAGAGCTGACTCCAGAGTTCTTCCCACCCYGGTGTTTCCCAGGCTGGGGCAGCAGCTCCTGAGCAGGGCTCTCTCTTGGGTCACCTCCAAACTCTTGGCAGGGGCTGCTTTGCCATTGCCAGCACTCCCAGCAGGATGAGGGCCCCTTTCCTCTCCATTTCCAGGAAGGTGCCTGCAGCCTGCTCAGATTTGATCCCTGAGCAAGGGACAGCCATGGCAGGCTGACACTCGGAGTCCCWTCAGATGCCCAGGTCAGCCTGGCTCGTGTGTGTTATTTTCTGCTGCCTTTCTTGGCTCATTGTTGCAGTCAGAGAGCCTCTTTCCTTGCCTGCTGCTGGAAAAATCAGGGATCTGTGCTGCCATTTTGGAATTTGATTTATCACTGTGGCCAGCAGCTGTATTCTGGAAGGAAGGAGCTGTTTACAGAGAAATGGAAGAGAGCAAGAACTGTTTTGGTACCTCTGCGTGGCCACAGGCAGAGTCTGAAACTTTGGGAGGCTGGTGGAGAAAATCCAGGATGTGTGGATGTATCCTGTCTGTAAAAGTAGAGGGAGAAAGAGTCTCCAGTGAGGCTCAGATAATACAGATGAGGTTCAATATTTCTGGCACTGCACTATTGAGTAATTGTGGTGGAAGTTGTTTTTAATTGAGTGCTGGAGCGGTAGAGGCAAACCCTTGTCCASAACCTCRAATCCTCTGCTYAGTTTWGGGCCCTTCACTSCAGGAAAGACTTTGAGAGGCTGGAGTGTKTCCAGAGAAGAAAACWGAGCTGGGGAAGGGTCTGGAGCACCAGGAGAGTCTGAGGGGGCTGGGGAGGTTCAGTCTGGAGAAAAGGAGGCTCAGGAGGGACCTCATCACTCTCTCCAACTCTCTGAAATAGGGTTGTGGTGAGGTGAGGGCCRGTCTCTTCTCCCAGGTGACAAGTGACAGGACAAGGGGAAATGGCCTCAAGTTGCACCAGGGGAGGTCCAGGTYGGATKTGAAGAAAAATTCCAACACTGAGAGGATGACCAGGCATGGAACAGGCTGATCAGGGAAGTGATGGAGTYACCATCCRTGGAAAAGCTCAAAAAATGAGTGCACCTGGCACATTGGGATACATTTTAGTGGCGTGGAGGTGTTTGGTGAAAGGTTGGACTGGATGATCCTGGAGATCTTTTCCAACCTTAACGATTCTGTGACAAACACAGGGACCTGTTTAGGCTCATGGTTTATCAACAGTGTCGATTATGGCCAAGAAATGTGTTTCCTGAGTGCAGCAAAGGAGAATTTCAGTGCCTGAGCAGTGCCACAGCCATGATAATGAGGAGATTTGGGTGATCGGAGCTATCAGCTGCTGCTGGGTTGAAAAACAGGTGAAGAAGTGACCTTGGCACGTTGCTTTGAGCAGCTGCTAAAGAGCAAGTGCTTCATTCTGGGTGATGCCTTCTTGACAAAGAGAGAACTCGAGAGAACAGCCAGGCTGCAAGGCAGGGTCTGGAGCAGGATAATTGCACTTGAAAGTCAGCGCTGCAATAAATGGTTTATTGGATTAGCAGAGCAGCRAGCGGCTGCCTCTCAGCCTCTCCCYCTCTAATCCAAGCCGCACACGGAATGACCTTATTTAATACACAGCAGCTGGTTATTGATCACACTCTGAGTTGGGCTTTGAAAACAAAACCTGCAAGGCAAAAAAAAAAAAACCAAAAAAAAAGTCATTTTTCTGATGTTCTTTGTTTTTTTTTTCTTTCTTTTCTCTTTTTTTCCCTCCCTTCTTTCGTGTCCGTGTGTGTGTGTGCAGCACTTTTTAAGCCTTCTCTGTGCTCAATGGTTTTGTTCTCCCTTCCCAAGTGCCCCTGCTGAGAGTGTGGGAGCACTTTTGAGAGCCCTGGTGCCCCTTTTCCCTGTAGTTCTCTGCTTCTGGCCTGGGCTTGGGAACCGTGTTGGAAGGTAGATCCGAAGAAAACCAGAATGAGTAATGGCCTTGGAGATGTTTGGATCTGAGGAGATGGGATAAAGAAACATTGTGTTTCCTTTAGCAGAGGCAAGAAGTATGGTTCAGTGTTGCAAAATAAAATTTTTAAAGGGTGAAAAGAAACCCCARAAACAGGGGAAAAAGAGCTGTTGGATTTTAAGTGGAGCCCAGCACACTCTCCACTCACAAATTCATCAGTACCAACAGTTCCCGTTGAAATAATACCTGAGACACGATAGGTTTTGCCCTGTACTTAGCAGTGGAAATTGCTGTGATTGTTGTCTCACCTGTCAGAATATGCAGGTTTTCTAGTGGCTTTATAGTGACTTTATAGATGGATCAAAAAAGCAGGCTGTAGAGAATGGGGTGTGATTACCTGGAGAGCTGGAGAAAGGCCACAACTGCCCCAAAACCTGTCTGGGAATGAGAGGAAAGGACTCTGTTGGTGGCCAACCTCACCACCAGTGTTTGAGCTCTGTTGAAGGGAGTGCTCCCAAAAAAAATAAGTGTTTTGRTAGGAGGAGCCTCTGAAATGGATTTTAAATGTATTCAGCCAGCGTTTATTCCTGCAGCATTTGTGTGCTCACACAGGCAGGGAGGAAGAGGCTATAGAGGATATTCACCGGGGCTAATTTTAGCTGAGTTTAATCTCTGGGCTTCCTCTGCAGCTCCTGAGGAGAGACAGAAGTCCCTCCTTGGAGAACCTTTTATCTCTCTGTCGATCACAGAAACAATTCAAGAATTGAGTTTGCCCCAAAACCTGGTGTGAAATAATCTCTGTGCATGTGTCCTGATGGGGTGGAACAGAGCTGGATTGTCAGAGCACAGAGAGAAGAGAGTGGTTGGGAAGATGACAACCCCATTAAAGCAGGGATTGGGATTGTCCTTCCCCTGGGAATGGCTCCTGTTGGAAGCAGCGCTCTGGGCTGGGGATGGTGCAAAGCACTGCTCAATCAAAGGTAGCAAAGCCCAGGCTCCAGATGAGCTGTTTGTGGATGTTTAGGAAGCAGAAAAAGCTAAATTAAATGAAGGCATTATTCACTGGGATTATTTAATTAGCTGCCCTTTCATGTGCACAGGAGCCAATCTAAACCTGCTACGGAAATTCAATATATTAACAACCTCATGCCCCCAACCAGAACCAATTAGGAGATAAATGCATCCACATCTGTGCCCTCTGCTTGCAACTTTCTGCATAAACACACCCAACAGCAGCTACAGTTGTGTGTTCCAGTGGTCTTTTGGCCAGWTCTCTGTGATTCAGTGTCATTCATGTTTTTTCTGGTACAGTTTTCCATCAAATTCCTTGAATCAATCTACTTTTTTTTCTTTTTGCTGCCTATCTCTGCCTCTCTCTGTCTCTCTGCTTATCTGTTCTTTGTGACTTATAGATTTGGGGATAAGCTGTCTTTTTTTTTTTTTTTTTTTTTCCTTTTTTAAGGGTCATGCACTTAATGCCTCCCAAGACCCACTTTATCTTTGGTTCAGCCACTGTCCTCACAGGATTTGCACAGTCCTTCCTCAAAGATATTTATCTGTAGACACAAGAGCTAATTTCCTCTGTGTCTGAAAGTTTCTGTGGGATGCCTTAGTCATTATTCTGGATGGGAATGATGACTTGTGTCACCATAATTAATGAAAAGACCAATCAATAGCCACTTGAAAGTGAGCCACCGGGCCTGCTGCTGCTGTGTTGGTGCTCATCAGGATGTCTTTTTGCAGTGAGACTGAACAGAGAGTCACTAAAGCTAAGAAATGATCCTGTGAAGWCACCTGATCTCTCTCCCAGGCAGGGTAGGGCCATAAAACCCCTCCTGGTTGGGGCAAAGATCCCTCACCAGCATCTCCATCATCCCCCAGGGTGACAGACCCSCTGTCTTCTGGCAGTGATTTCGTGTCTTTTCTGATACCAGGCACTGCACAAAGGTCTGGGGCATATTTTGCAGACTCCTTCCCCTTTTCCAAGCCAGATCTGACGTGGGTTTGTGTCTGTGCAGACCAGAAAGTGCACACAATGGGTAAATTCTGGGAAGAAATGGGGCCAGTGCCAAGCTAATGTGGCTTCTGGGCTCCTGAAGAAGAGCTGGATGAGTGGGTTCACACACATCAGCTGCTGAAAATGCCCAGGATGTGCCTTAGCAGATCCCAGCTGCCCACAGTGAGCTGGTTCTGTGCTTGGACCCATCCAGAAAAAAATGGGAGCAACAGGCAGGAATAATTCTCAGGGTTCATCCCAAAGATTTTTTCAGCTCCAGAGTAGGATCTGAGGGAAGGAATGTCTCAGAAGCAGTCAGCTCCTTTCAGGGCAGGTTGGTCTGAGGGGACACCCAAGCTCAGGACTAACTCCCACAACATAAAAGTCCCATTTTTATGTTCTTCATCATGGATGAAGCAAAGAGTGGCCACTGTCCTGGTCTCACCAGCTCC